ACTTTTAAATGTGAAAATGAGAAACAATTTATTTCATGATCATTAAAGCCTTATAATATTTTTATTGTACAACAGCATATGTCTTATTTATTTTGTAGTGGAATATTTCAGATTATTTTTTCCAAAGAGGTGAAATAATTGAAAAGGAGCTAAACAAAGAAGAAGCAGTATTGCAGAAACAGGCAGAAGAAAAGGGAGTGATGCTGAATAGACCTTTTCATCCTGCACCACCATTTGACTGTCTTTGGTTATGCCTATATGCCAAACTTGGAGAACTGTGTGTGGATCCCCGACCTGCAGTTAGAAAGAGTGCTGGGCAGACATTGTTTTCTACTATTGGTGCTCATGGAACTTTATTGCAACATTCAACGTGGCACACAGTAATATGGAAGGTATGATGTGTAAGCTTCCACTGAAGGTTTTTTTTAAATTACATTTCACGTTTTGGTAACAATTGACATGCTATTTTAAGATCAGTTAACTAGTTTATTAAGACTTTTTAAAGATAAAATATGGTGGCAGAAGTCTGATATCGTCTTTTGGGTTTTTTTTTCTTCACACTTTCTTTTCGCTGGCCCTTAAAGCCTCTTACGAAATGTAATTTTTGTATCTTGACCATTTCTTTCTTACTCAGGAGTTGTATAAAAACGCTGCTCCCTTCCTGTGAAGACGAATGACTCCTTTCTTTGTGTGAAATTATGGTGATGTTTGAGGGTCGTGTGATTGGATTGATCTGATATTAGATCTAACTTTACTTTGCACTCTGTTTTGGCTCTCTTATTTGAGAGGATCCATCAAATGCCCTGTTCTAGAACAGTCATGTTAGTTGTGCCTTATGGAAAAAGTCAGGCTGTAGTTGTCTGTTGTCTGTTGCACCTGGGAGGTATCTGAGATCCATTAGTTTTAGCCTTCTGTTAGTGCTAACACTGTTCTCAGTGATTTTGATCATGCTGTTTCTAACCCTTCTCAAGTGAACATCAGTTGGCTGATTCTGCAGAGACTGTTTAGAATAAGGGAATTCTCAAGGTGACACAGTGACAGAAAGGATAATGGAAAAATTACTATTTTTTGTTGTTTTACCATGAATGCAACTATGTTATTTGAAAAGTTGCTTTTTTCCCCTCTTTTTCTGACTATTACAGGTTTTATTTCACCTGTTGGATAGGGTTCGAGAATCTTCTACCACAGCTGACAAAGAGAAGATTGAATCAGGAGGAGGCAACATTCTCATCCATCATTCAAGGGATACAGCTGAGAAACAGTGGGCTGAGACATGGGTGTTAACACTGGCTGGAGTTGCAAGAATATTTAACACCAGGAGATACTTACTGCAGCCTTTAGGTAAAATTTATAGTTCAAAGTTATTGAAAAATACAGTAATAAACTTTCTGCTTTTGTATATTTTTTCAGTTAAAGTACTGGGCAAGAATCTTAATCTTAACTTAAAAGTGTGTTCTGTTGTGTCTCACCTCAAATGTGATGAAAATTATGGAGTTTTTAATTCATGCTCCTTAGAGCCAAAAATTGTATGTACCAATTTCATCTTCCATATCACAGTACTTGAGATTAAATCTCACTGGTCACAGTTCTGGGTGCCAAATCGCTTTAATTTATAGTAGCCTGATAACAATAATTTTTCTGTTCTTTTGGTTATCAGAACGTAGTTTTCCTCTTATCTTTCTAAGGTTATGCAACACTTGCCTAGAACTCTTCCGTGGCATCAGTGTGTCAAGTTTAACAGTGCTCTAACAATGTAAAGAGAACTCACGTGCAAAGTCAGTGAAGTATACAGCTTAGAAAAGAAGAAAGGGAATTTTTTAATGAAAAGATTGGACTTGTTATGACGTGAAAGATGTTGAGATTACCCACTATTTCAAGTGATTCTTTTTCTCCCCTCATGATACTTCTCCACTGTTTGTCTTGTACAGAGGTGTCAGTCTAAGTTACTTTACTGTTGTCCCTAATGCAGCTAACTGAAGTGAGTTCCCTTTTTTTCTTCCTCCTTAAAATCTTACCTTTCCTTGAAGTTTTTTTTTTTTCTTCTATAACTCCTTGGTATCTTTATTTCTTTCTCTTCCTTTTTCTCAGGCTCTGATTTTTCCCTATTTCTTTTCTGCTTTCTCCTCATAGAAATTAAACATAAGGTCATTTACCAAACTATTGTAAAATATAAAATATTACTACATACAATTGAACAATGTAAATGTATTGAACTAGATAATATAATTCAGGATTCATGCCTGTTTTGTATACGAAAAAATGTTTTGTTTAAGTTTAGGCCTCTAAACAGAAATATTCTGATACGATTTCAAAACAGCTTTCATTTCTAGTTTGGTTAACTAGAATTACTTAAATACATACTTTCAAAAAAAAAAAGTGATATAAAGAATGTATAGCTTGCAATTCCTCATTACATTAATATACCTTCACCATCCCATAGTATGCAATTAATATATATAACTAGAAATAAGTTGTGTTTTATTTCATTTTGGTTATTTGTGATACAGATATCAACATATTAATAGCTATCAAGAGTATTGGTCATTTGCAGAAATGTAGTACATCTTAAACTATATTAAACTTGAGTTAAAACTGAATAAAAAATTAAAACATTGCAGGGCTATTTTAATTATTCAAACCCAGTAATCAGTAACATAGAAAATAGATGGTTAATGCAAAATTTAATGAAAAACTCTAACTCCAAAAATGAAATCTTTCTCTACAGTACAATTATCAGAGCACTTTAAAATCAATTCTTTATAAAAGCATATATAGATTGTATATATAGATTTGACCTTTAGACTAAAGATTTGACCCTTAATTCCTTGTGTGTGCTTAACACTTTTTGAAATCAACAGGCATCTGGTATGTATAAGAAAAAATCTGTTTCACTATGCTGAATAAAGAAAACGTATTTTTCTGGTACGGAATGTGGTATGTAATTTTTTGGTAGCAAATTCGACATAAACATTGATATATTGTTTCATTCTTCATATTTGTGTGTTTCTCTGTCACATTCATTCTTTCTGGTTATGGTTGGACTGATATATTCTGAAAGTCATTCAAGCCACCACCTAACCTCACGAAATTTCTCTGTATTAGAGTAACAAGTACATGAAGAGCCTTTTAGAGACAGGGTGGGTGGGAAGGTGTATAGGAAGCCAGTTCCAAGTTGATTTTTTTCCTTTCTCTTTTTTTTTAATAGGAGACTTTTCCCAAGCCTGGGATGTTCTTCTTGATCACATCCAATCAGCAGCACTCAGCAAAAATAATGAAGTTTCCTTGGCTGCTCTGAAAAGCTTCCAGGAGATCTTACAAATTGTTTCTCCTGTCCGAGACTCAGAAAAGCCTGACACACCACCTGCTATCAATGTTTCTGTACCTGTAGTGGTAGGGACAACAACTGCCACTAGTCTTGGCAGATCATTCATGAGAACTGACTCCATTGGAGAAAGAATAGGAAGATACAATGGATCTGAACCACCTGTAATAACAGATGAGATTGAAGATTTGAATCTTTGGTGGGCAGCCTGGAACAGCTGGTATAGGATTGGTTCAGAAAGTACAAGGCCTCCAATTACTTGTGATAAATTGACTTTCATTCCCAGCCAGCCTTTTCTTACAGCTTTAATTCAAATATTCCCGGCTCTTTACCAACACATCAAAACTGGTTTCAGCATGGATGATCTCCAAAAGCTGGGTGTCATTTTGCACGGTGCTGTTTCAGTTCCAATCAGTTCTGATGCTTCCCCTTTCATCCTTCCATCTTACACTGAAGCAGTTTTGACGAGTTTACAGGAAGCGGTGCTTACAGCTTTAGATGTTTTACAAAAGGTAATAATGTGTCTTCAAACGCGTGGTGAAAGGTAAACTGCACTACGTCTCAGTTCTTCCTCTCAGAACTATAGTGTGGTGACTTAAACATGAATTTTAAAAATTATTTATAATTGCACAGTGTACTGTATCAGAACAATCAGATTTCCATTCCTGGTGCAACCCAGGTGCTCTGCATTGAAAGGAATGGTTTAATCTTTGTGAAATGCACTTTTGCTTGATTGCAGAAATACCTTAAGTGTAGTGGTGTGGTTGTAGCCATTTACTTGTCTATCTAATATTACAGTATTGTACTATTATAAGGGTCTGTACACAGAGTTGGGGGAATAGTCCCCCAAACAGTATTCTTTATGTTGCCCACATAAAGTCCATAAAGTCCAGAAGAATAGCGATCATGAGAACTTTGAGTTCATGCAAAACATAAAACATAAAAAGGTCTCTGGCAGACCACCCACCTTCTTGCCTCTAATCAGTTGTTTAAGGAAAATGCTGCATCTCTGCTTAAGAAATTATTACTGTAGAACTCATCCTCAAAGAGCACCCTTCATGCAAGTGAATCTGTAAACAAATTAGGATGCCCTTTTTCTGGATAGTGAAAAAAAGAAAAAAGGTATTGCTTGTTTCTTTCTTTCCTTGCAAAATACATTGATCGTTCAGAAAACTTATTTATTCAAAAGAAGCAAAGTTGATAATGAATGCATTTATATTACAAGCACTGCTTTAGAAAAAACAAACCCCCCAACCCCCCAAAAACCTACTTGGGAAATGCCAGAATTAAAACTATCCATGTGACCTGACTTAATTCCCTTTGAGCTTTCATGTTATGACTACTTCGCTTAACTATGTGGTCATATCTTCCTCCCCCCTCCCCC